GCTGCCGCTGCCACCACCACCATCACTACCACCACTGCCACCGCCAACGGTACCAACACCATCGCTTTTCTACCACCACCGCCACCCACCGCGCCGTTACCTTCGTCTTTTCGACATTTACCAACACCGACAACGAGATACTCTACACATCTATAACGTTTCACCACCACCAGATTCGTCCCCCCTTTCATTCCGATTCTCCCCGGTTGGACACCGGCGTTTCTCTTTCCTTCGTATATCCTACGTTTCCTTCTCTGGTTCTCTTTCAAGTTTCACACAACTTTTCCAACCACCCCACCAGAGGCACAGACAACGTCGACGCTGTCGCGACGATATACGCTATATCCAGCGCACGCGGATCTTTTCTATCTTTATTCCCTTTCGCTTGCTAACTTGCCGGTTCGCCCGTTCGCTTCCTGTCCTGGGAATGCGCGTTACAGTCTAAAGTACGCTTTCACGAATGTTCGCTAACGCTACAACACCTCATCTCTCTCTCCTGCGGCTCTCGCCTCCGGCTCCTTTCTCTTTTTCTCTGCCTTTCTCTGTTCGTGCATAAATGGACCGAACTTCGTGGAAAGCGGCTAAACCTCGTGTTAAGCACCGATTCAAAAACTCGACGACGAGGCAGCTTAATATTCGTATCTGCACTTTTTATGTGAACACTTAAAAATCATTTCGCAATTTCTTTGATTGCGAACCGCTGGTACACGTTGTCGACGTGTATGACCGGTATAATTCCCTGAATTCATAATGTTGCCACCTCGTAAAGCGAGCAATATAGATTTTGCTCTCAGGCAGTAGGTCGCGTTGAATCAAACATTAGTACAACTATGTATGACAGTGATTTATCAGACGCGCAAGTACATCGGTAAGACGTTTGATGAACGTAAATTTTTCACGCATACTGCAATATTAACGCGTTCACGAATAGAGACTAGTTCGTATTATGGACGTTAATGTGATATTATAGACACGTAATACGGTGGTCGTAAACGTATTACCATATCGTATAATGAACGAAATGCAATCAAATGAAAGCTGACGCGAAACGCGAAAACCTTTCTCCGCAACCTATTAAAACTTCGCACGGGAAACTAATCGATTTGAATTAAACTTAATGCTCCTGAGAATCCCTTCCTGTTAACCATGAAACATTTACATGTAAACACTGAAGTCAAACTTTCTTAACTTTTGGGAAATTTTCGAACAAATAAAAAAACTTTTTTGAGACAAACGTTTGCTTAATTCTCAATAACGAAAATTACAAATTTAGAACTCATACGATTTTAAGCTTTGCGTAACATGCGACAAAATTTGATCCTACCCCAGGAAATCCTAGGAAATAGGAGCAGCTTTCCCAAGTATATCCAACGAATCGAAAAACTGTAAAAAGCGGTGAACCGACACTTTTCACGTCAGAAGATTTTTACGTGTGAATCATAATGCGGCAAATCTCGTAAGTCCAACCAACTGCGTCGGACGAGAAAACGTCTATTGTAGTGTGCATGCCTTAAGCAGCGGCACGCTTCGAGGTGGGTGGAAGGGAGCAGAAAACGGGGTGTGCGCGTGGCCGGACTCGTGACGCCTGCGTCAATCTGCGATTCATTGCCCTGGCAACGGCGACGCTCATCGTCGTGCCTTTTTCTCTTTCCCGCTAAGCTCGATCGCCGTTTCACTTATCTCTTTCGACATACGGATATTCCCATTTTCCTCTTCTACCGACTTCCGTCTCCGTCCCACTAGTCGCACTTCTTTCAACTGCTAGATGCTCCTTATTCTCGTATCACGAGAACAAACCATTGAGGTTTCTGCGACGTAACAAGTGGATATCCTCATTTCCTACACGATCATTTCCCGTGCTTCTACATCTTTCACTGTCTTTACGGATTTCGTTTCTTCTACGAGAACTCGATTCGGAACGTTGTTCGACGTATCGTTTTTCGATAATCGCGCGTATTTGGAGCAATTTTCGACGAATACGAAGCCATCTAGCACGATTTTGATTCAAGGAAAGTCGAGAGATTATTTCAACGATGTTTGTTCGAGACACATCTGCAAATTTAATTTCTGTGCAATTAAGAAAAGCAAACCGCGTTTTGGTATTATTCTTAAACACCGCAAAGTAAGAAGCTACTTCTTTTCTTCTGATGTAGAAAAGAGGAAGAAACGTGCTAATATTTTTCACGCTTTCAACGGAAAATACACATTTTCCCAGTTTGATTAGTTTACGAAAAGTGCCACGAATTATTTATAGAGAAACGTTACACAATCTTAATACCCCTGTATCTTT